GCTCGCCCCGTCACTTTCCCCGAACACCGGAGCCGCACAGCAAGGGAGCAGGACAGAACTGGAGGGGCACTTAGGGCGCTCGCACAGTTCACAGCAGGAAACCGCGCTCCGTGGGGTGGGGGGGGTGCCCGGGGCTCTCCGACCGGGGCCGCCGGGCAGCCAAGGAGCGGGATCGGTAAAAATGTGCTGCGCTGGACATGCGGTGCCTGCCGTCATGTTTTATGTACGCACGGACATGTATGTCAGGGAAATATTTTGCTCACGCTAACTAATGTATTGCCACGTTAGTAACCTGGGAGTGAACACGCTCGTCTTTGCTCAGGCAAGTGATCTTCGCTCACCTGTGCTGCAAGGCTGCTGAACGAGTGCCCGTATTTATCTTGGTAAGCGTTAATCTGAAGTTTCAGTGATATCGGAGAGACACGGTAGTTCCCGGGCCTCAAGTCGTCTGGGCCAGAATGTTTTCAAGGTTAGATGCATTCCCAACATCGAGTGCCTCGCTGCCCTCATAACAAACCAGGCAGCAGGCTGCAGAAAAGAAGGCACAGAATTCATTATCTAGGAGAAAAGAGAGAGGCCAGGTTTGTCAACATGTTTATTGTGTATCTCCAGGTGAACAGAAATTGGTAGCAATGAAATGAGAAAGATTTGCCTTCAAAAGTCTTTTTCTTACCAGTATACAGCTCATGTGGTTACTAGGCACTACAGGTAACAAAAATAAACAGTGACTGTGTCTATTTTAGCCATAGCTAGCTTTGATACTTACCCATACTCTACCATTTCCCCCATGGGGAAAAAAGGAAGAAAAAAAACCAACAACAAACCTCAAACAAACAAAACAAGCTACCTGTAAATTAGTACTACCATAATTCTAACTACATTTAACGTTTTTTCTGCAACCTTTGATGTGTGCAGCACATGTAACCGGGACAGGGACTGCATCCTAGGATGGAGGGCCTCACAGATAATGCCATATGCTTTTGCCTTTTGAAGAAGCCCCAAAGAGAAGATGCCTAGTTCTGATCATTCAATGGATTTCTTGGGTGATTCAGAGCAAATTAGTTAATTCATCCTTCATCTGCTTAACCAAACCACTGTGTGAGTTTGTTAATGGTTCTTACTCATGAACAGGTAGTAATAAAGTGCATCCTTTAAGTGTCGTGATGACTGAAGCTGTGAACCTATTGAGAACTGTGGATCATGGATGACAAACACTATAAAACCACTGGTATGGATCCCTGTCAGTGTGTAACTAACTAAGGCAGTGCTGAGCAGTAGGCTGGTTTTGTTGGAAAGGTATGGTTCGTGTTTATGTCTGTTTGTTTACATTATACTGATAAACCTGTACAAGGAATATGATGTTTGCGATGAGAGAAGGTTAGAGAAGCACCACTTGTTTCCTGCCCTCTGCCTTGCTGCTCTGGGCTAACAGACTGCTTCTCCACCCCATCCCGTGTTTTCCCTCTGCACGCTGAGCCTCTAACCTCAGTGCTCAGAATCCAAACAGAACCTGCCTGCCTTTCATACAAGTCTTCCATGAACAGGACAAGAGACACACTGTATCCCAGTGCCTGCTCAAGGCTCAGCACAGACAAATACATTTCCCATTGCTGGATATCTAGCAGGGCGTGGGGCCCAGGGATCCCAAAGCACCCCAGTGCTTTGCCTAATGCAAGAAAACGCGAAGTGGGAGAAAGGCCGTTCTTTTGTAGGCTGCACTGAGGGGATCAGTCATTTCACAGAGGTTACCAAGACAGCTATCAGGTAGCAATAACTTTGATCACTAAAAGCTGCAGTAAAGCTGATAAGTGGGAGCAGAGAGCTTGTCCATCCCGTTGCAAACCTCCATGTGTAAGCCCAAGTTCCTGATTTTTATAATCTTGATCTGAAAGCACCTACAAATTATTTCTCAAAAAGAAACACATTTCAGTTTAACCTGTTAGCATTTCCTTTTTTTCTCTTTTATCTTCTTTCTTTTTTCTCTGTTTTAGACAGAAGTGGCATCATTATTTTCTTTGAACTGTGTAGAGCCAGCAGAAGGGTAATAGAATAACAAGACTGAACACTACCTTGGGGAAGCAGGAGAATTTTTTTCTGGGTGTGTTTCAAACATTCTTCTCTCCAGAGCCATCCTCACTCAGCTGCTGATCAAAGCCGGAGTTTTCAAAGCCAGTTATTTACACTGTAGGCTTCTCAATGCAAAGGCAGTATTTTATTATTTTTTTTTTAAATCTGGATCTTTAGGTACAAGTCCATCAGGGAAAAAAAAAAAACCACCACCCTAATCTTTAATATTCTGTACATGTCTATGTTTTAGGTCTCTCTAATTTTGTATTCCAGTGATTAGCAGAATTAGAAATAATGACTAGCACAATTTTAAAGGCAAACTCAAAGTCTCTACTGGGTTATATATTTCTAAAACCTATAT